AAAAGGACGGGTTACTGTGCCATTACCACCCGTTCCACTGTCCTTTTCTATTATTCATGAAAAGGACGGGCCACTGTGCCATTACCACCCGCCCCACCGTTCCTTTTTATTATTTGCAGGCAAACCATGAAAAGGACAGGTGAAAGGTGTTTGTCATAATATAATTTTAGTAAACAGGCTGCAAAATTGGACTATTATAATTTTCCGTCTCTATTTATTCCTTATCTAAAGTCTTGATTTTTATTTTTATTATACAATTGAGGTAAAAATAAAATAATGAAAGATACAAATCATAATAGATAATAAATAAGCTAATTAAAATATATAATAATAATATAATAATGCAAAATGAAAAGGACAGGGGACGGGTTCAAGCCATACCTGCCCGTCCCCTGTCCTTTTCATTTTGCATTATTATATTTATTATACAATATTGCAAATATTAATGCCGTCCTTTTTAAGAAAACATCAGGTACAGGCAGTAACTGCGCAGCATACCCATCCCCTTTTCACCTGACCTTCTCAAGATTTCTCCATGAATAATAGAAAAGGACGGGGGACGGGCAGGTGTGGCTTGAACCCGTCCCCCGTCCTTTTCATGTGTCCCGATCTCTTGCACACTTATTCTTCCTTTGATAACCATTATCATTTATAACAGTCAATTGTTCCTATTTACCTTTAACAGTTACTTAAACAATAATCATTAAAATAATTTTTAAAGAATAAATAATAAATACATGATACTTACAATAATAAGCCTATTAGCATCAAGATCAAAAGTATCTTCAACCGAAGATAAACTGTTCGTTATAAGTTGGTGGGTTTTTGTCAAAAAACATTTTTCCCATGAAATTATTAGTCTTGACAAATGGGACTTCCCTCTTGATAAATGTTAATGACTATACTTGTAGAATTGATTGGCAAGGTTTCCGCTATCTTAACTAAAACCACACTATTGGGTTTAATAATTAAAAAAATCAGAATCAAAACACGAGAGGATCCACCAACCAAAATAATTTCATCCACCTCCGATTTACGCATTTTAGCATTCTGAAGCATTTTTTTCATAGTGTCTATTGCTAAGCAGAACAGATCATCATTTAATTCCTCAATTTTTGAACATGTAACAATAGTATAGAAATCAATGTCTTTGAAAAATGAATCAATCTCAATGGTTGTCTGACTTGAAGTGCATGTTTAGCCGGACAATATTGACCAATTTTTTCATTGCAATCAGGACATTTACGTCATGAATTTTCTATCCCTGTTTACCACATTTATTACACCTTTTTTGCCTATTACTATTAAAAAAATATTATTTTCGCGTTCCGTGTTAATTAAACTTTTACTTTCAAAAAAAAACAAAATGGATCCAGTAATATTAGTTGAACATAAAAAAAGCAAAATATTACAAGTGAGATATGAGTAAGTATCACCATAGCTGTTATTTTGTTCAGTCCAAGCTCTTTTTAGTGAACTTTGACTCTAATCACAGAAAAAACAATGATGACAATCGAAAGAATCATTCAAAATATACAATCATCAATAAATCAAGAATATAATGTATCTATGATAAATATTGAAAACGCATTTAAAAAAGAGAAATAAAGATACTATTAATAAATAACTTAAGAAATTGTGTAAATGAATATGACAAAGTATAAGCAAAGTTTATTTACTAATTAATTCATTTTATATTTTGTTAAAACTATTTTGTTTTATTTTTAAAAAGCTGGTAGAAAATTTTCATAGTTTACAAAATACATTTAGTAATGATGATGTGACAAATTATTTTATTAATAGAGGAAGGGAAGAGAGCACACGCAATATTAACAATGATAACAATGAAGTTGTATATAATTTTAAAAAATTTTCCTACTCATTTTTTTTATTTATTTGCTTTTACCTATATAATTAATCTACTTTTAAATTCTTACCACAAACATTAAAGAATCAACAACTTGACAATGACTTATCTGACGATGTCAATGATTTTATTTGAACTTAACCTTACACCTTCAATTTGTTATTATGAAAGAGATTTAGGCCATCAAGAAAACCGACAACGAAAATTCTATCATAATGATAATATTGGTGATGAAAAATTCTAGAAGAAATTTTGATTAGCTAAATTCTGTGCAGATCTTTTCGTTTTTTTGAATAAGAAATAAAGAAAAACATGGCGGGAGCTTTATTAACTGGTCATATTACAGGATCAAGCAATATGAGAATGTCACTGTTTGTGATTTTAACATATAGTATATTAATTAGATAGATGATTTTAACATTATATACAAATTTTTCCTTTACCTATCATTCATAATATCTCATTTAATAAAAATAATTGATAATAAAAATAATCAATCAATATTAACTAAATTATTCACCTTACCCATTGAATATATACATGCATAAGACCAGAATATTCCTAATAAAACAATAAATACACAAATTTAATATGTATATATATACACACATATAAAATTATTTCAAGTAATTCTTACATTTAAATATTTGTAAGTTTAGATAAAGGCAAATTTAGAACATATAATTGATAGTCTGAAACTAGAAGTTTGTTCTATATTCCTATGTTTACTATTAATAAGAAATTTTGTAAAGTTGGTTAACAAAAATCACTCTTTTTAAACTAACATATTTGAGATCTAGAACTTACTGTGAAAGATCTTAGTTAATCTGAAACTAAAGGTTTTATTTTATCTATTCTTCCGATAGTATTATTAAAAAGAATTTTTGTACAAAGTTACAAGGCTTTTAACGAAATTCCCCTTTTTTAACTCATTTATTTTTTGAAATCTTGGACCCAGTGACCCAGCTTTTAGAATATTGTTGAGTAAGTGTGGCAAATAAACAGTATAAAGTGTTAACAGTTGGTTTTTGTGTTTTATTCAAAAAAATTTAAAAAATATATTTAAAAAAACAAATTCCTAGTGCAGAACTTTCTTTTGATTTTAGAAACAACATATTTTGAACAATTTGACTGAATATTGAGTGATTACAAAAGAGGAATAGTATTTATTCCGATTATTATAATTTGGATTTTTTAAAAATATTTTTTCGTTTACATATTATGAAAGCATCACGTAAACTCTATGATTCATATATGAATTGATCGACGAGGGGGGTTCGAATTTTTCCAGAATCGATTTCCATATTGGGTAAAATACCTGACTGATTACATAATATGTCAAAAAAAAATAATACGCAGAAATTTCTGCATTTTCCCATCAATCGTGAGATTTGAGTCTTTAACAATTTCTATGATGCAGAAATGGAGTGATGAATATTATGAAAAAAAAAAAAAAAAAAAAGGCAGAAAATATGAAAATGTCACCCGTATTTAGGTAAAATTGGAAGCATCAATAAAAGTTTCTTTAAATAAAAATCTTCTGCAATACATCATCACTACTTTCATCCTCGCATCTTACTTGATTTTTAGGAAGTATACCGGCTTCTCTCTATTCATCAACAAAACCACAATAATCACAATCAAACTTGTTATATGATCCCAAATTTAGAAAACTAATACATATTTCTTCATATTTCCCCCGATTTCCCTGATAGCATAAATAAACAAAACAGAAATATAAGTAAAAATGGAGAATCGCGCTATAGATCCATCAGAATTGCTTCCTTTGACGCTTCTGTCTAGTTATAGATATAAGGACCTCTTCTTGTTGCAATTTGCATCACAAGATTGCAAAAAAAAAGATATCAAAAAACTAAAGTTCAAAAGGACTCATTCTTATCCATTCGAATATAATTGCGCGTTTTGTTGACGACGATGATTTCTTTTTTACATCTTTAGAAAGTAAACACATTTTTTTTATTTCTTCTTTCTGAGTTATTTTCACTTTTATAGAAGATTGTTTGGCGGTATCATATGTCATTTTCAAAACGTTAAAAGAACAATTCTGCTCGGTAAGGAATATATATACATCAAAACTAGAAAAGCTCTAAAAATAATATGATTTAATAATACTTATTCATCATAGATCTTTTCCCTTATAGTGAATTCCTATTAAATGTATTATTAATAGTAATGTAGATTACTTAATACGTAAATATTATTTTCTTTCTAATTTCCGTGAATTTGAAATTCGAAAATTAGCCAATTAAAAAGAATTTCGCCCCTAATTTCAAATTCACATAAAAAAGCTGAAGTTCAATGATCTACATCTATGACCACAATACTAGTCTAGTAATTACTATTATTATTATTTATTATTCGGGATTTGATACAAGATTATTACTGCTAGTACTAATATTAATAAATAACATTTACCTTATGCTAATCTGGCTTCCATCATCACATGGTCTTGCAAGTCTTAAATTGGTGATACACACTATCAATAAGTTGAATTTAAAATCGCGTTTCAACGAATTCCATACGCGAAGCAAAAATTATATGCACGATACGTTTTAGTTAAGTCGTGATTAAGAAAAGATAAAACAGCTGATCAATCATATCCAATCAAACACAAAATCACTTGGATAATTCTTACTTTTAAGTTTAATAAATTTATTAACACTGGTTCTAGATCCTAGTTAAAATTATATCCGAATCAATCAACAATTTTTATCACTATGAACTTATTTCATATTAATGTAGATAAATTTAGAAATTTAATTGTAAATCATTTGGTTGTGTTTCAATCTAATGATTTATTATTTTTCGATTTCTAGAATCGGCAATTCCAGAATCCATCCAGCCGTGGTCCAGAACATGTTCTAGGTCAGCCGATAGGCTTTTTTTATTTCTAAAAATTCTCTAGTATATGCTTTTTATTGTTTTAGGTTATTTTTTTTATATTGTCAGAGTTCATTGTTGTTATTTATATATAATTAGCGAGAGAACTTTGTCAGTTCAGACCATTTTTTTAAAAAAAAAAAAAATTATTTTTATTCTTCAATTCATTAAATAATTAATTTAACATCTATCTTGAAAAATCAATAAATTCTCCAATAATAAATAATACTAGGTAAAAATAAGTAATATATTGATTATATTGATTAATGTAAGTTTTTTTATTTGTTTTTTTTTGCAAGTCATTATTAAAAAATAACGATAACAATGTTAATGAGATATTGTTATTTCAATTTAATAGTTTCCTCTCGAAATCATGTCAACAAATTCACTTGATTTGGAAATGATAGAAAATGATTCAAATCGTGCACAAGTTGTGGCCACAGCTGTACGAGAAGCGTGCAACATCGCTGCCGCCAGCCAAAATCAGCAACAAGATTGGGAAGCTGCTTGTCAAAGGATTATGAATAACAAACTACTCACCGATTCCGAAAAAACTGCAATACTTGCCTTATTTCAACCTTCTAAAGCTTGAATTAAAAAAAGAAGCTTAGGAATCATTAGAACGATTAGAAGGCGAAATATAGCACCAACTACTCACACCAACTAACCAATCAATCAATCAATCAATCAACCAACCAATCAATCAATCAATCAATCAATCAATCAATCACACATATATATTATCGATTATACGATTAAATATACAAATCGATTCCAAAGCCACACGTAACGCGTTTTTATATGGTCAAAATATTTGTACAAAACTTCTTGTTTCTAAATAGATATACATATATTATGCATATACTTTTTTATTTGTAAATATTCATATGCATGTAATAATAATATATAATGATAAATAATATTTAATTGTGAGTTTAAGATTTATTATTAAGAATTATTTATGATTGGAGTAATGATGATAATGAAATCTTATTTTTTAAACATATTGACAAAATGATAATATTAAAATAATATAATTTTTGGAAGTTACAAAGTCCCGAAATTGCATTTCATTTATTATTACAAATAAATAAATAATGTCACAAAAATTATTACATACAAATTTTCTTATCATTAAGAAAGGATTCTTTTCGGAAATCAACGACCAAATAATGAAGTTCAAAAACAAACGTAAGTTACTATCATGTTAAAAAAATACATTTGCTTCTCTTTTTTGTGACTTCACAATGATAGAAATAATTGATTTACTATATAAATGTAAATAACGAAGATTCTTGATTTTTTTATAAAATCCTATTGAACCATTAAATTGTGCAAAGATGTTTAAATTTGCAGCTAGTCCTGCGAGTGAAAATTATCTTGACCATTCATACTTGTTAAATATTCTTAATCGGGTTCGAAATTTTATTTTATAGTTCTAATATTAATACAGATGATTCTAAATAAATATTATAAGAGGCACAAACAGCCGTTGTACATACATACCTTTATTTGGTCCTCTCTTTCGGAATACGAGAAAGTTATGCGCAAGCAATTATTAAGTGGTTATTTATTTGACAAATCGAAAAAAAGTGTTAATTAATTCTATAGTTATGTACATATTCCAAATAGTATTAAGCAACAAAAAAAGACTAAAATTCTAGGGAAGTGTTATGTTTACCTCATAGCGACATAATTGTTTGAAGTCAACCAAGATATATTAGCAAGGGTTACATGTGAAATCTACCAAGGCAGTCTAACCGAAGACTATCTACTGCGCCTCGGGTTTCGTTCGTATACAAAAAAATATCTTCAATAAATTCCAACACGTCAGAATAATACTCGTTCAGTAAAAACCTCTACTGGTTTATTTAGAATCCTGTATTGTCATCTCTAGAAGGCTTTAAAATTGAAGCAAAAAAAAAGGTAGAACTCTTAGTCCAACGTACCTCAAATACGCCTACAGATGTCGAATTAAGAAAAGTTGTAAAAAATTTAGATAGTTTGTCTAGAGATGTGACATGCGCATGAAAAAGATGCAACACACATTGCATCGCGCATGATTTTATTTTCAAATCATGCAACAATTCTATTCGAAAAAAAAATGTGAATTTTTAATTTTTACCAAGTTATTATTGATTGTATTATTGATATTATTTTTAAAAAATGACAAAATTAAAAATTTGTCTCATTTGTTAAATTGATAATTTCATCAGCTTTGCTTCTAAAAGGAATAGGTTTGCTTTTTCTTTTATAAAGAGAAATAAATTATTGTCACCTGAATGTGTTTTAAAATTGGTATATATTTATATTTATTAAAATGTCCAAAAAATACCAACAATTATAATATGGAGATATTACAATTGATGGTGATGGAAATGTGGGAAGTGAAAATGATAAAAATGATGATGATGAAGAAACAATTAGAATAGAAAGTGGTGATGAAGAAGGCAATGGCAGTCAGTGATAATAATATTGAAAATTGTATGTAGATATTTAATTTTAGATTTTTTTCTTTAATATATATATATATTTAAAAAAAAGACAATTTAAAAAAATGCAATGCATAAAATGCGCATGATATTTTGAAATTTCATGCAATTTCCCATCTCTAAGTTTGTCAGATTTACTTTGTAATAGATACTGTTGAATTTGCAAGAAGTTCTCATCCTGATCCAAAATTTGTTAGGTGTCAAAATATTAAAGCTGTATTTTTTACTATATTGTTTTATGGCATTAACTATGATAAATCACGTGTAAAGTTTTAGCACATGACGACCTCAAATATAACTGTTCTGCCAGGGTCCTATGGCATACGGCACTTGCTGTGTGTATTAGTGTCAACCCTCAAGTGTTCGCCCTTAACATTATCATTTTTTTAATTTTTTACCTATTAAATTAAAAATAGTAGATCATTAAAAATTTTTAAAATTTATATAAAAATCGAAAATTGGCAAGTTTCGTACACACCACTCCAATTTTACTATGGTTCCAAGCCTTTTAAGCAATAATAATAATAGTCAAGAGCTAGTGACAGAAGAAAGTCCTTTGCTTGTCGAAGATGATCATTCTCCACAATCACCACCATCAACTACACCAGATAAAAAATTTTCCTTGACCTATATAATAGATTCTTTAAGAAAACCTCATGCTTTATGGATGTTACCTTTTAGTTTTATATTGTCTGTCATCATTAGTTCAACAATCGCGCCTTTAGGTTTTTTTTTTAAATTATTTTCCAAATCTTTTTTTTTTGGAATATGAATGGATAATTGACTATATATATATATGTGTATATTTAGTTCAATTTGTTATAGATATAGCATGTTTAGAATACTACGATACAAATAATTCAACAATAACTATAAATAATGGTGATGATGATCCCGATGTACGTAATTGTCGCATACATGAAGTTCAGTCTATGGCTTCAACTTATTTAATGATCTATCAAATGTCTTTATTCATTGCAGGTTCCCTTTTTATTTTAATTGATTTCTTATATTTTTATTTTTATTTTATTATTTAATTTTAATTCTATTATTGCTATTTTTTTAAAGTTACATTGTCAATTGGATATCTTTCAACATTATCAGATTATAAAGGACGTATTTTCATATTTCGTATATCAATATTTGGTACAATATTTGCATTTTTAATAATTATATTAGTTGGAAATTATTGGAGAATAATTGGTATAAAACTTATGTTTATCGGTGCAATTGTTGAAGGATTGTGTGGTGGTATAATAGCTATAAATACTGCTTGTCATGCTTACACTAGTGATTGTATATCTCCTGAGAATAGGAGTCTTTCATTTGGATTAATGAATGCTTTGGCTTTTGGTGGTATGACAGTTGGACCTACATTGGGTGGATTAATTATTAAGGTATTTATTTTCCTTTGCTAATAAAATTATATTGTATTTGATTTTTCTCATGTTTTAAATATTAATGATCTTTTTAGAAAACAGGATCGGTGCTTTCGATCTTTTACATAGCAATGTTTGCCCAATCAATTTTTTTATTATTTGTTATATTTATTCTGCCTGAGTCACTATCATCAGAATCTCGTAGAAACAATCAACAAGGACAAGGACAACATCATTATCATCAAAATTCTTTATTATCGTTGCCATCAAGATTATTTCAAAAAATATTTGCAGCTTTAATCATTTTTAATGAGACTCCTCAAAGAATAAATTATAATGATAACAATAGTAATAAATTATTATGGAGAATTGGTCGTATGGCTTTATATGTTCTTGGTATAATATATTTCATATATAGATTATCACAAGCAGGTAAGAATATATTTTTATTATTCATTCATTTATTCCTTATATATATAATTTATTATGTTATTAAATTAGGCCAAAATGAAATAATTGCGCTCTACACAACATATAAATTTCATTGGACACCTTTGGAAAATGGATTTTTCTATTCATTACAATCTTTTACACGTTTCATTGCATTATTGGTTTTTTTACCATTATGTAAATTCATCAATTCGAAATTCATTTCTTCACACTATAACAATAACAACATTGATAATAATACAACCAATTTAGATCTTTGGTTAATGAGATTTGGACTAGTAATGGAATCTATTGGTTTCATGGTATTTGCTTTAGCAGACCTACCAGAAATATTTTATTTGGGATGTATTTTTACATCAGTCTCGACCATAATTTCTCCAACAATAAGAAGTATATGTATATCGTTTGTCTCTCCAACAAAGACTGGCCAGATTTTAGGTGGATTAAGTCTTCTTGAAGGAATTGGTAGTATATTAAGTCCTTTATGGATGAATTCTTTGTATAGTTGGTCGGTGAAAAATGAATTCCCAGAAATTGTGTTTTGGTCGAATTCTGGATTATTTATTGTGGCTGCTTTTTTAGGATTATTAGTTTGGTGATGAATGGATGATGAATGATGAAGATTGATTATGATAATTCTGGCAAAAAATTTATTCTAATAATAATAATAATAATAATAATAACAATAATAATAATAACAACCATCACTTTTGATACTAATTATATTAATTATATTATGAAAACTCCAAAACTTAATTGCTAATTACCTATCGAGATGAGATTCTACATATCATTGAATGTTATCACAATCAACTCTTTTTAAAGGTAGTGGTACTATGTGGTTGTTACTGGGTATAATGCGAGTTTAACTTTTCTTTTTTGCTATTGGAAAAACAGGAAAAAAAAAGTAAATGGGGTATGGTTACGTCATCTAATGACATAAAAAATGGCAGATCTTTTAGAATGCTAATACTAATTACAAAAATAGCTCTATTTTTGTAATCTACATAACCCAGGCAATATTCTTGTTCATTAACAATTCACAATGTTCCATTTGTGCCATTCTCAAATCTTGCAGGCTATACAATGTCATGAGCATAAGTTCAAGATCTCCACTGACCGCATCAAGTTTTTATATCAGTGATATGACTATTTAACATCGGAGGCACGTCCCTAAGTGTCTTTGGTAGCTTCAAACCAGTCTCAAAAAATCATTTTGTGGATGTTTCTTTTTTGATCACACACGCCAATGAATTAGCAATTTACCATAACAAATCCTCATCCAAATTATGTTTGAAATGCTCAAGATTCGCCGCTAATGAATTTATTGAAGTCGTTGAAACGAACGTGACAAAGACAACAAATACTATTAACAATTAATCGAATATATATATGTATTACCAATATTTGTCCACAGTGTAGCTTAGTAATTTGCCTTAGAATTTTTTTTTATAGGAAAATTTCACAATATGTTAGTCCTGATATTAATACCCAAAGCACGGGTAGAGGTGGGACTCGACCCCCTACAATATGACACATTCGAATATTAAACATTGTAGCAATTCTCTAAAGTACTCGATACAAAAAGAATTCATATTGCGTGAATAGAATAAATGATTCAATCATCGTCGAAATCTTTTCAACGTATGCTTCTGTGAATTCATCTGATAATTTCTGTCCTATTAGTTCTATTAATTTCTTTTAAAAATAAATGTTATTTGAGATCATATGAATTAGGTTATTTTAAGGGAGATATGTGTATATCAGAGATTCAGAAACGAAACTTTGGTTTTCCTTTACCAAAATAACCATTGGATTCGTGAATTACCTGAAGAGAGAAAAGGTACCACTGCTTTCGCGATAAAAAAGCTTGTGCCAGAAAACGATAAAAGTAATCCAGCAATGGATTAATAAGGAGAAGAATAAAAAGATAGAGAAGATGAAAATGGCGATGATAAAGAAGATGAAGAAAGAAAAATTAGTGATATTAAGGATGATATTATTTTAATTATCTACTGTATTTTAGTTAAATAAACATGACTTATTTTCTTATACCCCTGTCTCCATATTACATCTATTTTAATGATTGTATTAATATATTTTATATTATTATTCGACATATGTGCTTTTTTATTAAACTTATAAAGGGCTAATAAAAAAATAAATTGCGTCGCCTAACTAAGGATAATGCTTTTAATTTGAAGAGACATATATATACTCCAATTGAAAGTCATAGATAGTTTCTTAAAAATCATTTCGAAACCTTTATAGAAATAGTTTCATTTTAATCCAACATAACAAACTTAGGTGCCAGATTAATAAAATCATCTTTAAAATAATGTATTAATACTTAAACTTACATATTATAGACTAACAAACTCTTGAAAACAAGAACAAAGAGCCTGGATACAATTTGAGTTAAATTCATTATCTACTGCTATTAACTATGTTATGCTTCCCGTTATCTGTTTTTTTGAAGTTAAACATTTTCTTTTAGTTAACTTGTTCTTGTTGTCCTTCTCGTTCTCGCTCTTGTTGCTCTTGCTGTTCTTGTTCTTGTTATTCTTCTTGTTCTTGTTTTCTCAAAGATCCATATGTTGTTTGTTCATAAATCAACTGTTATTAATTATACTGTCTTTTGATTAGCTCCTATTTTTTTAACGATACTATATATAAGTTACAAAGATGTAGTTTTCATTTTTATGTAAACAAAAATATTGGTTATCCTGCAGATCAACGGGGAAGTTTAAAAAAATATCGGACCAAAAATATTTTTTATCGTAATCCTTTTATATATTGATGAATAACATTTTCTTAAGTCATAGTACTAGTAGCTACATTAGTAGTAATATAGATTATAATTTATAAATAGAATTTGTTGCATCAAGCTGTGAATTTATATTTTATAAAATGAATAAAATGTGAATAAAACAAATAATTCGAATAAATGAATAATTCAAATAAAACAGACAATTCAAATAAAACTAAAACAAACAATTCAAATAAAAAATTTGTATTTATATTAAAATGTATAACTGGAAAATGGCCTATTTCCAAATCGACCCTGGTCTTCACCTTGTTTGATGCTAATATCCTCATTGTGTAATTAATCGAATAAATCATTGATTATTTAGTCATTCACATTCATTTATCAGTCAGAAGTGAAATTGGATTGATCAATTATTTGGATGTAAAAATAATAATTTTATAAAAACACAAAATTAGCAGAAGAACAAAGAAAATCGATTTATGAAAGAAATTTATACCCACCCATGTTCAAAAAAATTATAGATTCATTAGGACCACCTTTTTGTTGAATCATTTTATTTATTGACTCCTTTGACCTTAAATGGGTTTTTACTAAATCTTTATTTTTTCGTAGAGACTTACAGTTGACTGGCTTTACTTTGGAATTTAAAATAGGGATCTTGCTAACCTGACAACTAAAGTCAGGTCTTTCCAATGAGCCGTCAACACTTTTGTTTAGATGAAGTTTATAATTTTCATGAGTATCATTGAAAATTGGTCTTATGATGGGGTTTAAATAATGAAAATGATGCTCATCTTCAGTTATTTTTGCATCGTATATAACTGGTAGGTCCGATTTACTAAAAATGTGTTAAAAAAATAATTTAATTATATCATCAATAAATTTTATTTTGTTGTTGGCCACTTTCAGACAGATATTTATGGTGTTAACTTACAGGTTGTTAAAAATTCTTTTACATTTGTCACCGATTTCATTATCTTTCAAATTTAATTCGGAATCCAAATTTAACAATACATTATATGATGCTTTGAGCAATGATGTAGAAATGGCCTTTGTTAGACCTGGTTGACATGGTTTATACAGATTCGATTTCATGATTTCGTTCCATTCTGTCGATGTAAAGAAAGGTTTGTAGGGACATGGATACGTAATAACCATTATTGATGAAATTGTGCTAAAATATAAATATAAGTTTGTAAAAAAAAATTTTTTTTGTCTGGTTCACAAATTAGCAATATCACACAATTTTTACACTAGATGTAATTATAATAAATATTTAAGAATACTTACAGTATTTCGTATGTATGATTCCATGTTAGTTTTGATTTTTGATTTTTGATCTTGGAGACCAAATCTCTTTGATAGTTCTTGAATTTTTCAAATATGTTGACAGTACCCACCATCCACTATACCATAAAGTCTGGAAAGATAGCACCCCTACTTTAAAACAATTGAGCGTCAATATAAAAAAATTGTTACACATATGTAAAAAGGGGATGCTATCTTTCCAGACTTTATGGTAACATAGAAAAATACCCAATGGTTATGTTTAATGCTTAAAAAACATACTATAAAAATTGAAATTTAGTTTATTATATACATTTTCGGTTTGTTCATTTAAAATTTTATTTAAATTTAACTCAATGTCGGTTTTGCCGTAAACTGGTTGATTAGTCTTGATATGGAAATTTAGATTAATATTAATGTCAATATGTTATGGATACGTAATAACCATTATTGATGAAATTGTGCTAAAATATAAATATAAGTTTGTAAAAAAAAATTTTTTTTGTCTGGTTCACAAATTAGCAATATCACACAATTTTTACACTAGATGTAATTATAATAAATATTTAAGAATACTTACAGTATTTCGTATGTATGATTCCATGTTAGTTTTGATTTTTGATTTTTGATCTTGGAGACCAAATCTCTTTGATAGTTCTTGAATTTTTCAAATATGTTGACAGTACCCACCATCCACTATACCATAAAGTCTGGAAAGATAGCACCCCTACTTTAAAACAATTGAGCGTCAATATAAAAAAATTGTTACACATATGTAAAAAGGGGATGCTATCTTTCCAGACTTTACGGTAATTAAAAAATTCGGGTCGGGTCAGGTTGTCCATTCAACCCGACCCGACCCGACCCGTTCGGAACACTAAGCTGCACTATAGCAGTCGTGTGACATGTCCTTTCAAATTATTTTCTATATTAAATAAAAAATTTCTAATTCGTGTCACATGAATTTTTTTTAAAA